GCGTGAGATCCCCCCCGGGGCCCCCCCCCCCCCCACACCCCCCGACTCCCTCCTTCCCTTATCCCTCTTTTACCTCCTTCCCCAAACTCCTCAGTACATCCAACATTCTTTTAGATTCTGCAAAACTTTAACTGGAGGAGGAGGAGAGCCCCCCCCCACTCTCTTCCTCCTCCTCCTCTTCCTCATGTTTCATAGAGGCTGTTTTTGTCTTTATTAGTGTTCAGTTTATCACCTGTGTCCGTGACACTGTATTATTGACCAGATTCACTGAACACTTACTGCATCAATGACGTTGTTCGTCTTTCTTCTTTTGTTTTTATTTAATTCTTACCAAAAATTTAAGTGAATTTCTAACAGCTTTTTTACAGTTTCATAGAAAGAAAACTTTCACTGAGGACAGGACGGAGAAACAGATTTTGATTGAACTACATACGTAATTATTTGTTCGTAACTGAAAACCTTGGAGAAAACTATTGTTTTTAAAGTTTCAGTCAAACATCTGCCTGAGTTGCTATCCATATTTTTCACTTGGTGAGAGATTTTTTAAATCGCTCAAATGACTGTGAATTTTCAGACACAGACTTTTAATCTCCACGGTTCTGTTTCTTTATTCTTGCTTTTCTCTCTCTGTAGAACATGTTAACGTCGCTGACTGTCTCTGTCGTCTTGTTTCTCTGACGGACCTTCCCCTTTCCCCTCTTCCCTTCACCTTTTCCAACGCTGTCTCACGTTATCTATTTTTTATGTCGACTCCTCTCTGAAATGCTCGTCATCATTAATTAACCTCCTTTCTCCGATGCCGTTCTCACGCTGCCGCTTCCTGTGTTTTCCCTCCTCTTTTTCCCTCTTTTCCTCTTTCTGCTGAAGCTTTTCTTTCACTGCAGTCTCCGGTGACGTCTCCGACCACCCGGCAGTGTCCTTTGACCCCGGCCAAGGTGGCACCGTCTCCTTCTCCTGCCTCTTCCAGCTCTGTCCTGCAGACCTCCTCCTCTTCCTCTTCCTCCTCTTCCTCCTCTGCTTCCTCCACTTCCTGTCCTGCAGTCCGCCCAGTGAGACCCCTGTTTTATTGCCAGTGTTGCCTCACAATTCGCCATTGATGTTACTTGAACGATGCACTGTAAATTTGAGGGCAGAACCTCACAGTTCACCACTGAGGCTACTTGAAACGATGCACTGTAAATTTGAGGGCAGATTTTCACACAGCCCACAAAAGAATCACACCTTATTTAGGATTTAAAAAATGTAATTATCTATTTTTTTCAAATATAAAAACACTTTACAGACCTGAGGTAAATCTTTTATATTCTATATCTCTATATACCGTAGATATGGAATATAATATTCCTTTATTAACAATGTTATTATGAAAATATAACACTAACCTTTTTATTAATGTCTCTATAAATCTATAGCCTATTTCTCCACCTGGTGCCAAAACTGAAAAGTCATTAGAGAAATCTAAAGAGTTCTAGAGTGAGCACACTTTGCATCTCTCCTAATGAACAACATGAATCCTGGCGATTTCATGCATTTGATTTTATTAATTAGACAACAAACAGAAGACCGCGTCTGATACTTAAAAAAGAGCCGTAACAGCACAGAGGTTTCCCATGTCGTGGGAATTTTATGAGGAGCTTTTAATGCTCTCCCCCTGGAGTTTGCTTGTCACCACCTCCGTTTTCGCTTCCCCCGTCTGTGGAGTGATGTCCACTAAAGTCAGGACACCAGATTTGACAGGAGCGCTGCCTCCAGTTCTCCGTGGCCTTGCCTTGAGCTGAGCGTCACGTCCTGTTTCTCTCTCTCTCTGTCTCCTCTTTTCACTCTTCCAGAAAGGCCCCGCGGCGCCGGCCATCGCTGTGACGGCTCCGCAGCAGACCCCGATGGTGATGACGCCCCAGGCCACGGCCCAGGCCGCCTCCCAGCCAGTGCAGCCCGTGCAGACGGGCATCGCAGCGGCCCCGGGGGCCTCTGTCGTGTCCCAGGTCCGTTCTCTTCTCCACTGTTGTTCTTAAACCCTAAAGGACGTAGGCAGCGTCAGCACCGCAGACCCCGAGCCACCGCTTTAAACTGCTGATTGTGGACAAAGAGTCTCACTCAGTCTCATCTCATATCTGACATCTGCCCAAACATGTTAGCATATGTAAATATATGTATTAGAGTATATATGTGTGTGTATATATATATATTGTACACTTGTAGACTATTCTGGCTACAAAGACAACAGGTGAAAAAGCTAAATGTGCAGTGATTTAGCTTAATAGTTTAATTAATTTTATATTAAAAGGCTAAATGTGCAGTGATTTGTGATGTACACACCCTAGCTTAATAGTTTAATTAATTTTATAGCTCTATTTTTGTTAACGACACAGTTTTTATTGACACCTAAATTATTCTGTTTGTGATTATATTTATATTTATTTATTTACAAAGACTGTTCTGTCACTATGCAGTTTGATGGCATTATTAATGACATCAATTCTGACAAAGTGTTCTGTCTTTAATGTCCCCACAGGAAATGCAAGAGAATGTGAAGAAGTGCAAGAATTTTCTGGCCACACTGATCAAGTTGGCGTCTCACAATTCTCCGTCCCCTGAAACCTCCAAGAATGTCAAAGCTCTGGTTCAGGACCTGCTGGTTAGTGGGACAGTACTCACCTGGACACAATACTGTTTGAATGAATTCTTTTCTTACCTTAAACGTGGATTGTATTTAGTACTTTCAACCTCTAGATGGCAGCATGCAACTCATTCTAAATGTCCGGTGTCTAAATGAGTTTTTCTCACGTGGACCTGTTCTGGTCGATCCAGGGTCTCTGACCACGTGCTCCACCTTTGGACTGTCATCTTTGTCTCAGTATAAATCTCCAAACTGTGTCTCTGTTTCTCACACCTCTCCGAACAGGATGCTAAAATTGAACCGGAGGAGTTCACCAGCCGACTGCAGACTGAGCTGAAGTCGTCTCCACAGCCTTACCTGGTGCCCTTCCTCAAGGTGAGGCTCCTGTTTGTTCTGTCGGCATCTTATCTGCAACTGAGCTGAAGACTCTGTGGGTGTGAAAGGTCTGAAAGTTTGAAACTGGAGAAATTGGATGAACAGAAATGGTCATGTGTGTCTTTTTCTTTTTTGTTGCTTGCAGCCAGTAAACACGGCACTGTTTCTCCCACAGCTGTGTTTAGTGTTTTCTCATGCATGTTTGTTATGTGCTTTGACTGTAAACTCTGGCGCTTTTTTTATTCTTTTTTTTTTGCTTGTCAACAGAAAAGCCTCCCAGCCTTGAGGCTGTCTCTGCTGAACAGTCAGCAATCCCTGATTCAGCCTCCACAACAGGGAGTCAAACCAGCACCTGGTGGCGTCCCTCCTGCCATTGTGACAGGGCCAGGCGTTCGCATACGACACCCCAACAGTGTGAGCACCACGACGGGGGCCACCGCTCTGCCCACTGGGACACTGGGACACGTGGGCGCCATGGTACGTACGCAGACTCCAGTGAGGACAGGTTAACATTTTACAAAGGAACTGTTTATTTACACACACACACATACAAAAAACACTTTTTTTTAAATCACACTCACCCCCTAGTGGCAGCTATTGCACCTACAGGGGTGCAATAAACAAGTCACAGAGAACATTTTTCTTTTGTCACCTCTGATATTTTATTTAATCATAAGCTGTTGAAATATTAACATAAAAAACATAAATGTGAAAATATATCTTTTTATTTTATTTTATTTTTTCTAACTAATGCTTATTATAAAAAGGTGAGGATTCTCTTACAGTTACGCTGTGTAAACATCAGTACTGAACACTGACTTTACTCAACCAGTGCAAACCTAGTGATGGTAACAGAGCCGAGGGCTGTGGTGTTTGTGTGAATGTACGTTAAATGAGCGAGCCGAGGGCTGTGGCGTTTGTGTGAATGTACGTTAAATGAGCGGACTGAGAAGTGTCACATTTAAGTCACTCTGGATCAACACTCCGTTTACCCCCCGAAAAGAAAAATAAAAAGCTTCAGGGGCAGATGGAAATTATGAAGAGTTATCTACATGAGATAATTACCAGCTAAGAAACAGCAGCGACACGGAGTCTTCACCCCAAAAAGAAATGAAAAAGAAAATGATCCCTTTGGTTCTTAAAAAACACGCTGACTATGCTGATTTTATTAACCACTCAGTCGAGCAGATCAATACAAAACACAACAATGCAATAATCACAAAAAAACCCCGACCAAACAATTGTTCTGCTAAAATCAAGGGAAACGACCAACACAGAAAAACCCCGACCAAACAATTGTTCTGCTTTTACAATAAAAAAAAACAAACATTTCATGGCACATTATCATGTTTTTTTTCATATATTCAGATTTTTTGGGTTTTTTTTTGCATCCATTCTTCAGCTGCTAAGAAGTCATTGAGGAGAATGTTAATGAGTTGAACTGACTGTGAGGAGAGCTGTGTTTTATACATGACAGGAAAGAGCGATGTTTCACTTTCACCACATGAGAAATCACACCTCACTGTTTTGAATAGTGATGACAAATTGATTCTCATCCAATTCTAATGTTTCCACAATGGAAAACATTAAACCACCAGTTGCTTAAAGGTCACGTGAGGTCACGGTCGAGTTGTTCTGTTTCCAGTGAAGGCTTTTGTGTTTCCTCTCCACAGCTGTTGACAGGAGAAAAATAGCGCCCTCTTCTTATTGCTCCATCTATTTTTTTTTTTCTTTCTCTCTCTCTCTCTCTCTCTCTCTCTCTCCCTGTATCCCTTCACTTTCACTTCCTCCTTTTTCCAACAGCTCTTCACTTCCTATCCAGCTGAGCACTCTGTCAAACCTCACCCCTCTCTCTCTCTCTCTCTCTCTCTCTCTCTCCCTGTATCTGTTGCAGGGTGAAGTGAGGTAACTAGGTCAGCCCCAGGTCAATTTTAAAGCAATGTGGTCGCTTCAGCCTATGTCCAGAACATGCCTCCGGTTTCCCTCTGTTTCTCTTCCCCTCGCTGCATCTCTCTCTCTCTCTCTCACTCACTCCGTCTCGCTCTTACTCATGTGCTTAACACAACATCGACGTTAGCTATCACTCAAAACTTTAGTGAATGTAAATTGCCCCGGGCACATCAACAGTTTGAAACCACACAGTTAGTCAAATCAGGGCCAAAGAAACTCTTACCACGGCAGCAGAATCATAAACTCTGGGTTTCTTTTCAGATGAGATGATTTAGATGATCTGTAAATGACACTAAAATTGGATTATTTTTATTTTGCAATTGACACAAAATTCCATCTGTAAATGACACTAAAATGGGATTATTTTTATTTTGCAATTGACACAGTTTAGTTTGACATACTTTTCACTTCATTTGCATTTGCTTTAAATCCAGTCTTTAACAAAACTTTGCCTCATCCACGGACAGAAACCCCGTTCAGTTTTGTTCAGTGGAATTCAGTGAAACAAAAGTCTGATGTTTGACATTTGATTATAACGATGTGAATAACGCCACATTTTCTTTTGGTTGTTGTTTCTCCGTCTGGACCAACAGAAACACAAACTTTAGCACCACCTGATTTTCCCTCTCTTTCAGAACTGTGTCACAAACTGGCCAGAGGTGCTTGCTATCTCTGCCTGCGCTGAATATATTTTCCCCCCTTTCCTCTTAGTCTAACAGGCCCCTGCAGTGGATCTCTGGGAAAAATGGCCCCTGTCTTTTTTTTGCGGGAGCTTGAACAGTAATATAGCATGTGTCAGGGAATGGAAAACAAGGCTGAAAAATATGCAGCGAGAAGCAAACTGGTAGGAATGGATGGCTGGGCCTGAGGCCGGGCCAGTGGCTTCCACCGAGGAAGGAAGTGACTCTAATAGTCCAACACAGCCCTTCAGCCACCGCTGTGCCTTCTTCTTCTTCTCCTTCTCCTTCTAGGACTTTGTCTTCTACAACTCAACTACTTTTCCACTGCAGTCCTGACTTTTTTTTTAACTTCTACGTCTTATCTGGGAATGCAGATGAAATTAGGTCACACACAGTGACAGAAATTCATTCTTCTCAGCCGTCGAAATTGATTTTCTTATAAATTCAATATTCTCTCACAGCACAGACGTCAGACTCAGCTGCAGAGTCACACGTTATATTTGGAGCATTGTGAAAGGTTTTGCTAATAAGAGCATCTAAATATAGGTTTTTAGATTTATTTTTACAGAATAAAATAGTTTTTTTTACACTTGTCTCTAATGATAAACATCCAGGATTCTGTACCTGGATAATCAGCAACAACCACAAATATTCATCCACACAAACTATGAGCAAAAGAAAAATGTGTCTCTCGGGAAAATCCTTTTACATTTCAAAATATATTTCTAGTCGTGCTACAGTTCAAAGTTAGAATAATAGTATTGTAAGAAATGTTAATACTTGAAACCGCTGTCCTAACCCCTCACCCTAACCGGGGTCTCAAAGTGTCCTCAAACTCAGCGTCCCCTCAACTATTATATTCTAGGATTATTTCATGTCCCCAGAAGTCAGCAGCACCAGAAATACACACACAGTTTCCCTTTCTAACAAAATATAAAAACATTTGCTCCAAGTGAACAATCAACATTTACTCACATGTAAATATAATCCAGGCTTCACTGTGATGATATGATAACTGAGCTAAAGTTTAGTAGTGACTTTAGCTCCTGTCAGGCTTATGTCTGGCCTCACGACCTGATTGGCTGAAAGATGAGCTAAAGTTAAGATGTTAGCAGAAGTTCAGTTTCGTGCCTTTTTTTTTTAGATCCCTCCAGACTTTCATTCATTGAAACGCTATACTAAGGTACACGCCACCTCTCCTCTTAATTTTTATTCCTCTTCTCTCTCTCTCTCTCTGTCTCTCTGTCTCTCTCTCAAACTTGGGTGTTAAGACAGCGGCCACTGTTGGTGGCCAGGTGCGGATGCCCGTGGTGATCACACAGTCTGTCAGAGCACAAGGTAGGACATCTCCAGGCCCTCACCAGACTACGTTTGATTGAGTCACTCGCACGTACACTGTTGGCCCTTTGGTTTCAGGCACAAGTGTATTTTATTGTGCCATAAACAAACCAGCTCAGGCCAGTTTTCCAAAAAAAAAAGTTTGAAAGAGT